TCAATGTGGACCCTGAATTGACAAGACAAAATAGATTTCATAGCCTTTTACATCAGCAAAATTCATAACTCTTTCAAGCATATGTACTGACTGTGAGTCAGGACCAACTGAAATTGTACACTAAGCGGCAGGAAAAGAGGCTCAAGAGAGGACAAAGTCTGCATATGTATGGTTACCCCACAGACTATAGATTAATGCTGAGCATTTTACTAGAGCAATTTTATTTTAGTCACCAAAGTCTTACTATATAAAAATAACTTGTTTTATAAATTAGCTGTCAAATCCGAGGAGAAGCCAACCATGAACAATTTGTTGTTGGTTATATTTCCATTATTTTCACTATTTAATCCATAGTTTAGTGATTAATGGTTTTCAAAGAAAACTTGTTTGAAGTATAAAGAATGAAATCTGTTAAACCGAGAGAGACCTGACAAGATTCATTTCTCTTGGGGTCTCATCAGTGCTAAAACTGCCATGGCATAATTAATGGTCCAAGAGATGAAATGGGACTCCTGTTCTGTATGTCTCCTCCATTTAAGCTTTCAAAAATGAAAAATAATGAGTAAAGGTGTAAAACAAATTGCTTGATATGCCAAGAAGCAGAATAATCCCATTAAAATAATTAGAATTTTTGCCTCGAATTATTATACACTGCTGTTTCATTGGAGGAGAAACCAGTCTGAGGTGATCCCCTGATATATATCAGCATCATTTATGATACTGCCATTAGAAATGTATGAAAGGATGTATTTTTCTAAAGCTTGACAAGAAGCCTACACACAGGCTTCTTGGAATTATAAGACTGCTTTAGGGCAACAATCTTTCAAAAGTTTTATATTTATCAATAAATACATTGTTGGTTTTTTTAATTCACAGTCCCCTGGAAAAGTACAGAACACAAAGCTGAACCTCTATTATGGGCCTGAAAGATTCACAGAAATTATGTTTGTAAATATACAAGACTGGAAAAGGTAACATTAAATGATGACAATGGTTGATTTTTTTTTCAGGGATAGGAAGACAAACATTAAATTTCTCACTGCGTAGTATATACAAATCAAGATTGCTGACAGTAAATCAGCTTAGCTCTACAGCATACTGGGTCAACAATCTGTGTCCCTTAATGACTAGTAGATAAACCACTATTTTAATCTACTCTGATTTGACATAATAAACTATCTTTGAGCAGCAACTATGAAAAAGGCATTTCTCTAAAATCACAAGGAACAAAAATACCTATTCAGTGGTTAAAATTCATGTCATTGGGGAATGTGAAATCCAATGAGGAATAAAGACATAAATAGAAATAACTAAAACAGAAAAATGAAATATGCACTTATTTGGAAAACACTAGGTGGAAGTGATTAGCTCAAAATAGGGAACTAGGTAAATATTTTACAGAAAAGACAGCCACAGAGAAAGTCTAATTTTCCTCAGATGTGGAGGTTGAATATCAGTGGTTGAAGGGTGCATCTCCTACAGTACTGAGGATCAAAGTAATGAGGAGAAACAATGAAGAAAGGTAACTATCATACTAAATATAATTATGCTGAAATCTTAGAGGCTTTTGGTTTTGTATTCTCTGGCAAGATGACATAAAACAGTCACTCAGTATGTTTGGGGAAAGCCAGTCAAACCCTGTGGTAACAAGTAGGAAGAATACTGCAGCTAGGACAGTCACACAAGTGTAAGATTCCACTTAGATGATAACTAGTGCTTTAAATGTGAAAGTGCAGATTACATCTCATTTTATATGTGCTGAAATGCCATGTCTCATAATTATGATATGCAAGCAGCACAAATCACAAATGTGATCATTATTTTATCTTCAATAGGAATTAACTTGTTCTCATCCTGCTCTTACAAAAATGTTGTCTAATTTATCAGTGCATCTATGAATTCATGTATGATTTATAATTTTCATCAATTCTAACAAGGGAATACAAATATGATTTCTTTGATGCCTAAAGGATAAGAAAAACTTAAATTCTGCACCCAAATCAAATAGTACTTCAATTAACACAATAGCTCAATTAACAAAACCCTTCAGCAGAGAATACTATACCAAAGACAGTAAAGTTAAAAAGTTACCTCTTTCCTTCTACATTCATTGTTCTCCATTCCCTGTTCCCCTACTTCAATATAGAGATTCTGACCCTTTACATGCTATATTACTATCAAAAAAAGAACAAACACTCTTACCATTCTACTTTAACCAGTACTCAATCACACTGAATTAACTAAAAATATTTAGATTTTAGCTAGAAATGCATGTTTTAATTTATTTTTAACTGAGGTAATATTGGGGTACGCCCTTCAGGAATTATCATGATAGTGCACTCACAACCTACTTTCCCATATTCCACCACCACAGATCATTGTACTTCCTTCCCTCCTTGTTCTTATCCCTTCCCACCTTTTCCCCTGGTGCTTCAGCTATCTGGGTTACTTTTCCAGCTTGTCTTTGTCTGACTGTTTTATATTCCACATATTAGTGACACCATTTGGTATTTATCTTTCTCTTTCTGACTTATTTCACTTAGCATTATCCTTTCAAGCTCCATCCATGTTGCCACAAATGGCATGAGTTTATCTGTTTTTAATGCTGTCAAGTATTCAAATGTGTATATATACACATCTTCTTGATCCACTCATTTACTCTGGAGCACTTAGATTGTTTCCATATTTAGCTATAGTAAACAGTGCTGCAATAAACACAGGAGTACAAATTTCCTTCCAAATGAGTGTTTTTGAATTTTTGGAGATATTTTTTATTCCTACTATGGAAATACATTTTCTCACTACATAGGACTCCTGATTCTTTTATAGGCTGTCTACTGAGTGGATTCTGAGGCTATCCTAATGCTAGATAACATGGTGTCCCCTCTTGGGGAAGCAGAGCCCCATGTGATGATCATAAAGTGGGAAGGAATTCAGATGCCACTTGCCTATCACCCTATTAATCTGTACAGTGAAAAATGTTGTGCAACTGAACTGAGCAGTTCTGCCTGAAGGACAAGCCAATGTAATTCTTGTGGGATGAGTTGGGGAGGAAGAAGAAAGTACAGTCTCCAGAATCCAGACTAGCTCCTTGCTCTTCTGAGACACTGGCTAAGGCTGCTGGAAACTTTAGGGAATAGAAGAGCATATGTTACATATGAAGTGAGTTGATATCACCCCAGCTGTCTGCCAGGAGGTTCATTCCTGCTAAACTTGTCTGCGATGGAGTTTCCTCTCCTATGTATAAACAAAGTCCCAGCCTTCATCTCTTTTAACCTCAACTGTGCAAGCTTTTATTTAAGATTAAGATATTTTTATTGCTATTTATAATTTGTTATGTACTCCTGCTTATATGGAATGCATCCTTCTGCTTTTCTGCCTATAGTCATTAGGTCTCTAACAAATAATTATGTAGCGGGAATGCATTAATTTCATTAATATAGCAATTACCACACCCAATAAATAATGATGATGATGACAGGCTTTTAAAATCAGATTTTTTAAAGCTTTTTTAATTTATTTATGCACACAAGGACTGGGGTGTAGGCCAGAGGTGCAGGGCATGAAAGGATTCACCAGAGACAGAGTGGGGAGCAGAATAGGGAGATCTACTGAAATATATTGCTAAAGGGAGCAGTAGGCAAGACAGGAGACGTCTGCTGAGCCATGTGGGTTAGCTCTCTGGCCAGGGATAGAACTCATGTGCAGTCACTGGTGGTACCTTGATAGTGCTGAGACTTTAACCCCTGGCCACCAGGGAGGCCCCTAAATTAAATTTTAAAATCACTTTTAAGAGTTCTGTTTAGGCCCATAAGCTACTTTCAGGAAAGGATTTGAGATTGCTTAAAATACAAAAGACCAAAACCCATACAAAAAACCCAAAAGTTTAATATTAAAGAAGAAATAGTATCAGAAAAACCAGACTGAGTCACCCCATTTGAGGACAACTCAACTCTGGTAACTCATAAGACCCTTATAGGTCATTTAGGGTGATCCATGCTTTTCTGAAGCTACAATTCAGCAGGAATTTATCACGTGAGATTTTCTTTACATTTCACCAGGCAACATAGAGAGTAAGTCTTTAATAGTAGCTTTCATAAATATGCAAAGGCATCATGCAGGGTAAGATTCCCAGGCATGCAACCCATGCATTTGCACAGCACCCCAAGCTTAAAAAAGTCCCATACATGGCTTAGTGCTCTGTTGTTGTTGTCTTGGTATCTTAATCTTTTTCAACAAAGTTTCTTATATTTTCATTTTGTACTGGACATTGCAAATTACATAACCAGTCTTGTCATCTTTCATATAGCTAGTTCTTGCCAGTTCCTAAATTTCTTGTTTTAGGAAGTCTCACCTTTGGCAATATATAGCATTTCTGGAACTTATCCTACATTTCTTTAAGTATTAAAAATAATTCACAGGAGCACAACGGTCTATGGTAGAAGACTATGGTACCTTGGTGCAGGAAAGTCACAGTGGCCACATCTAAGGGGAAAAATCCTATGTTTTCAAAATATTAACAAGAGTGTAAAACAATGGTACTTCATTTTAAAAAAAATTCACCACAGATATATAAATGTCTTCCCACCAAACCCACCAATCTTAAAGCTTATAAATTCTACACTGAAGCAATATTAGACTTATTTTAGGGAAAGAAGAAAAGTCATTGTATTCCTCTTTTCACATATTAAAGTTCCAAACACCTTTTATTATGATGTTTTTAGATACAGTTAGATATCTTTATTGTAAAATTTATAAATAGACTTTTGGTTTAAAATCAATTACCCAGCTAGAGGAAGTGCATAACTTCAACAAACTGAAGAATTAGATCTCTGGATTATGCCTTCCATTATTTTTTTCCTTGGTCATATTTTTTAAGAAGTAAATTTTCAAATGTGTTCAAAGAGAAGTAAAATATCCAAGAAGGGTAGTTTGTACCTAACTGTACCTTCAGATCTATTATAATCAATCCTTCCTACTAAAGGGGGTGGGCTCCTTACCTATCATTTATGAATTTTTGTGATAGTTCAAAGACATCATTCCCATACATCGCAGACAGAGAAAGGTGGAACTTGGCAGCTGCTGTCCATTTAATTGATGAAAACTGTTTCTACATGTAATAGCAACAAAGGCCTCCATTAGCATGTCGAACATAGCACCAGAGGTGCTACCAAAATGTGCTCAAAGGTGTCATGCTCTCAGCATTCCCCCATTCTAGTTTTAACAACTAGTTTTGCCAGCACAGTGCTAGGCACAAGACAGACATCACTGGGCAAGACACCTCAGCTTGCCTGCACCTGAGAATCTAATGGGCAACAGAGACAAGTCAGTGGATAATTACTACAGGGTGTATATGTGACAGTGTGGAATTACACAGGAAAGAAATGGGGAAGATTTTCCCAAGGATGTGACATTCAAACTTATTTTTAAATATTTTATTATCAACTCAGAATTTACCTCAATAGGTACAGGTTTATATATGAGGTTATTGGTGGATTTACTGTGAATTAATGAAGGTTCACTTGAGGGTCCTTTACTTGCATAGGCACCTTCAAGACTTCCTTGTAGTTTCATGATTGTGTATTTCTTTTTGAGAGAAATAGCTAAGATTCATAATCCACAATGTTTGGGTCCTCCTCTCACAGGTCATACTGAATTTTCAACTCCTTCAGACATTGCCCTTTCAGAGTAACAGGATCATACAGCTGTATGATGTTAGGTGATGTCAGTTGGATGGTTTTGTCAGTTGTGATGGTTACAGAAGTAGCTCAGAAGGCTGCAAACTTTATTCAGCCTAATTTTCAGACTAAACTCTTCCTGAGCTCAAAGTTGTTTTGCTAACTCCAGCCTTCCATCTACTGGGTGCACAGAGTTAGGAGGGCACATGTATTTTCTTGTTGATCCTAGAACCAAAGAGAGGAAAGGACAATAAAAGGTGGGGGGGCAGAAAAGAAGTCATTAGATCACAGACTAGAATTTCTGGCTTCTTGGTCCCGCCCCATGGGTTACATGAACTTTCTAGACAACCTCACTGGAGGGAAGGAAACATAATTTGCCTATTTTTCTCTAGAAACACTTTGCTGTCATGTCCCAGATTTCCTTTACAACAATGTCAGAGAACATTAGGAAGAGTGTGGGGTGAGTAACATTGTGTTTTAGGATATGTGGTGTTATATTTTTTAACCAAAGGAGTATGTACTTATGCCCCAAATGAGTTTTAAGTCCCACTTTCCTTTAAGTTCACTGTCTTTCTTTAATAATGGTGTCTATAAATAACAACAAAGTTATTTATAATTTTTCTTTATAAAAAAATTTATGTGGCAATAGTGAAAATAACGAAATTAAAATAGGAACAGTGAATTCTTTTTTAAGTTGTATTATTTGTAATGGGGTAGCATTGGTTTATGACACTATTGATTTGGGAGTATAGGTACAGAGTCACACCTCTCTTGATGTACATTAGCACACCCACCCCCACTCCACTGGGTAAAAGCCATGTGACTAATGGTAGGTTTAAGGTGCCTGCAGTTCTCTTGTCACCAATATCAACATTTCCAGGAGCATAAAGCACAATGATTAGCAACTGCAAGGTAAAGGAATTCAATTCACGTAATTCATTTCCTGTGAAATTTATTTTTATTTATTCTGGATAGAAATGTAAATAAATCTTTTGAGCAGTGTAGACTAAAGAAGACTGCCATGAGACTTAAAAGTAATTATTGTAACATAAAGAAAAATAAATTTCAAAAGTGTACTAGCACAGTGGCTAACACTCAAAGCATATCATTCTTCCAATAAACACTAATAAGTCATACCATTTCAAATGAGGAGTGCACATAAAAGTTCTCAAGATACTAGGAAAAATTCCTGGAAAGCCATTGTAACTCTATACAATAGCTGTAAAAATAACAACATGATAATATTTCTAATAGAGGAAAAATGACACCAGGCAGCAAGCTGCATTGTTACTTGATGCTGAGGGACCTTCAACTAGGTAATACAAGATTATCTTTGCAAAGGACACTCATATAAATTTGGAAGTTTTACCAGATATGGCTCCAGGCTCTTTATTTGCACCTGTCAAGAGTGTAGATAACAAATTACCATCTTTTGAAATAGGGTAGCCTTAGATAGTTACATTCTGATAGCATCTAAGAAAAACTAGCTATATAGTGCATATTGGGTATGATTATTCACTTTTTCCAAGTTCCATTTCAATGGAAATGTTCCTTCCAAAAATGAACATACATTTTTCTTTGTTTTCCCATAAACCAAAACACTTACAAGATATCAACTATATCTTGTATTAAACAGTGGCTGTAAACAGTATTTTTAAGAGTGCTTGCAAAAATTTTTCTTAAATAATTTTATTCAAAAAACTGGAGCCACCAAAAAACTAAAGAAAATATTCAAAAGTATTAACATAAATTCACTGATCAATATTTTAAATATAAGGATTTGCATATATATTCACTCAACTAACCTTCTAAATAGCTTTACTTGAATGTCTTGTCCTGCAAGAGCAATATATGCAAAGTTAAACTAATCTCCTTTAGGTCTCTTTCATTGAAAACCACTGGAAAGTCTTCCTCACTCCAGCTTTGCTGCCCTCTGAGCTATAGTCAGAATGACCTACCCCAGGCAGAAGAAATCTGATTATGTCAATGCTCTATTTAAAACTCTTGAAATTTCCCTTCATTCACCTGTTTGACATACAAAATACACTCAGAGATTTGGCTGGCCACAGCTCACATAGCCTTTGATATCATTCTCTACTCTGTCTCCTAATCTAGGCTATAACTAGTCATGTTGAATTGCTCTGAATTCCACACGTCTCTCATGTTGCCAGAAACATTGTTTTCTAATATTACTCTACTTTTTCAGTTTAAAGCTCACTTTCTATTAAGTGGGGTTTAGAAGAAATATATTAAGGTAAGTACTGAACCTCTACAGCAGGTTATGTTCCCATATTAACCCATTCTTTTTTTCTCATAACTCTAACTTACCACACATTGTTATGGGTGGAGGGAGGGGAAGCTTCCTATCTGCTCCTAAAGTGCCTTTCACTTGGGGATGCATACTAGTGTGACATTGCTATACTTCCCCCAAAGAAGGAGTAGTAACTGATTTGGTGAACTCTTTTTTTTATTCATTTATTTTTAATTGAGTAATATTTGGATCCTCCATCAGGTATTAGTACCGTAGTACAGCCAGCACCAAATAAATCACACATTATCCATTGTCATAGTTGATCCGGTGGATTTTTAAAGGCAGCACATAACCTCTCTCTTCTATGCCTGTTTTCTTCTAGGGAGCCAGGCTACCTGCAGGGAACACCAGCTGTTTCTCTTGTTGCTTTATATTTCATAAGGATCAGGTGGTTTTTCTCTCTGTAGAGATAGCTATAGTTGTCCCCCTTCTTAGAACCCATAAGTAAATGTCCCCAACCGGGCGTTGAGTATTAGAAAGTCACTTGTGTTTTGATACAAGCTACACATGTAATCCAGCTTTAACAGTATAAAGGCAATATTTTTATTTCTAATCCACCATTCTCTTTTCTTGTATTTCTTAGTTCATTTAGAAATTCAGGCAGGAACAAGGAGTGATGTGGGAACATAAAAATGGAGGTGCTCCATAAATTGTTGTTTATTAAATAAAAAAATAATTAGATGCCATATTTTCACCATATCCACTATTCTGGCACCACTATTACCACCAGTTAAGTTGTAGCTACCCTCAATATATTTCTTACTTCCAAACCCCATCCAACATTTTCTATCAAATAAATTTCAGACTCTTGACATCAATCTGATATACTTTTAAAATTCCTATTAATAGCACTCTATTTAAATAAATACTAAATTGGAAACAGATGAGCTAGCACATTAAGAATTCACTAATTTGCAGATCATTTTCATCTATTAACTCATTGCAGAAAAATCACACGTTTAGAAAATAGTTCAAACAGCAATTTCTCTAACATTTCAGCCTTAAATTTCACATACTCTAAATTTATCTTATCCAGAAACACACGATAAAGTATATACATGTTGCTGTAAAGTTCAAGATAGATGAAAAGCAACAAAATAATATTTTGGATAATAGACTACTAGGTTAATGTATTTGAGAGTTTCTGGAATTTTTATCTTAATTTTTTATTGAACACAACACTTATTAATATTGTAAATATACTCACCAATAAATCTTATATGATTATTATTCTTTGTTTAAATGTATTTTTTAACAGGACTAAACATTCCTGAGTATGACTTCTCATTTAAAATTATGGCACAAATTTTCTCTCTGATAAAACAAGTCTATAGTTTTATGATGAAATCTAACAGGAAACTAGAAGTCATATAATACCAGAGATTTATTTTCTTGTAAAGTATCTCTTTTAAGTGAAGAAAGTCTGCATAAACTAATTTGTCACAACTTCATTTTTATTCATTCATTTATATTTAAAAGTCCATGTATATGCATGGATACATAATAAAATGTATGTCTATAGATTTAAAGAAAAATATTCTCAAAAATTTTGGAATTATGATGCAACTTCCTATTATTCAATGAAGCAATATATGTCAATCAAACATTTCAAAAGAGAATTGTAAATGGAAATCTAAGTTGTAAGGGACAGGGACAAAATGTGCAATAAGCAGAAGTTTTTTTTGGGATGTATTTTTAAACAGGAGGTTTTGTAAACTCCAAATTTAGCCTTCTAAAAGAGGTAGTACAAGTGTGAAGCATGTGGTCATTCTGGCATACTCTGTGTATAACTTCTCTCTTTACCTATATAAGGATATAATAAAATTTCAGAAAGGTACAAAGCAGAAATCCTCCAGTTCTGTTTATTCACTTTCAGTCAGGTAATAAAATATCCTAATGTTCCATGCAGAAATCTTCAAAATATACTACCAAAATAGCCTGCTAAAGAGAAATCAACAATTTCTTTATTTAAATGTGAGCAGTTTAAAGGAAGGTTCTGCAGGTTTATTTAAGCCAACTACATCTACAGGTACCAGTCAGTTTTACCAAATTTTCATCATCTTAACTACATTTTTTCATACTGCCATACCTCCTTCCTCCAACTTCCTCTCAACTTTTTTTTTTTCTCCTTTATTCTTTCCATTTCATCTATTCTTTATTACCCTTCCTCCCCCTTCTGCCTCCCTCTGGCCTACTTTTACTATTGTAATTACTTTACAGACCCACATTCCTTTTAGAAATTTAATTTCTAAGACACTCCATTCATTGAGACTTCTATATTCTTTGTTCATGCTTTGTAAAGAAAATGTAAACTAAGATCTCTTTTCTGTTGCTGATATAAGACACAAAGCAGCGATGGAAGAATAGCAGAGTTTCTACCTATGATATGTGCGATGTTACTGTGGAATTCAAAGAAGGGAATACCAAACTCTTCCTATAATCTACATGTATGACAAAAGCACCCACAAACTGGGGGGAAAAATCAAACCTGTTCATATAGAAAGAAGCATTTGTGTTGAAAATGTAAAAAGTGACATTCTGCTTATTTCGAAGGTGCTGTATGACTTTCTGCTTGATATTTAAGAATTTTGGTCTCTAAAGACCATAATGGTTTCACATAAAATTAAATAGATACCCAGAATTAAAATCAACCAATAATTATGAAATATAAAATGAAATCTAATATTAAATTAATATTAATATTAAATCTAAAATGAAATCTAAAATGAAATTATGATGAAATCATGAAAAGTCATGATTATTTTAGTGGAAAACCTATAGGAAAGTGAATTTTCAAATACTAATAGCACATTATGTAGAATATTTGCCCATGAAGACACAGAATCCATTCCTCACTCTCTGACACAGAGAACATGAACTACCATAATAATCATATAATTGAAATAAAAATAAACTTGGTAAATACTAATGAGTTAACATACACATAGCTATAAATTTCAACAATCTTCACAGTCAAGAATTATCCAGGAATATACTTAAAATAAAGTGTCCAAAATTGAAGTGAAGTCAATTGTTCAACTTTACTAAATATATTTATTTAAAAAATACTATTTTCTTGAATAGGAGGATCAATATTGTAAAGATGTTAATTCTGTAATCACATTTATAATGCAATTATGAACTTTTACAGGGAAAATTTGCAAACTGAATCTAACACAATGATTCTGGAAGAAAAAGTATGTAAGAATAGTCAAGAGGAGGTCTAAGAGGAAAGAAATAATGATGGAGACTTTTCCTGAGGTATAAAAAACTTTAAAGATAGAATAATTTAGATAGCATGGTATTAGCAAAGACATTATGTGATTAATAAAAGAGTCTACAGACAGGTATATATATAAATTTAGTATAAGATAAAAATAAAATTAAACAGATTCTTACCTCACACTGTTAAAAGATAAATTCCATAAGAATTATATTTAAAATTTTTAAAAAGAAAACATAAGTAGAAACAACAGAGGAAGCTTTATTGTTTGTAACAGTAACATTACGTCTAGGGAGGTATCCAATTGCCTATATTTGAACTATTGTAACTATATTTGAAGCAGCTATAGTTTTCATTCTTAGCAAGAGAACAAAAAGCAGAAACCATAAGCAAAAAGAGTGGCCTATGTGAATATATCAGTTTTTAAGTATTCTTTGCAGCAAACATCATAATAACATCAGCCAAAAAAGTATGCAAATATTTACAACATATCTAGGAAATATTAAAAGCTCTCTTCAAATCAATATGAAAAATAAACACCTCAGAATGTGGCAAATGTCATATATAAGCTGTTTTCAAGAGAACAACATAAAGGCCCATAAACACAAGATATTTTATCAACTTCACTAATAAATCAAGGAAAACATTTTTTCCATTGCTAAATAGCAAAAACTGATTATTTAACTTTTTATTTTATTTCATTAGTAAATTATATGATTTACTAGTATTGTAAGAGAGTAAGGCAAAAATATTTTCTCATGCAATGCTAGTGAGAGAATAAATTGATAATAAATTTTAGAAAGTAGTAGCTTATGAAGGTATATGGAAATTGAAATATGGACTATCTTTCTCTTAAGAGTTCCACTGGTAGAAATTTAGCCTAAGAAAATAGAGAAGTGTGCAAAAACAAACCAAGTAAGTACTTCTCACACTATTGTTAAATCAGCAAAACAAATCACTAACCTAAGAGGTAGATTTGTGATTACTGAAGCAGAACTAGATCAACAGGTCAATATTCAATAAGAAAAAGCAAGTTAAAGAACAGCATTTGTACCATAATCTATGCTATTTAAAACATGTCAATAGCAATATAGGTTTACATTTGCAAAGAAAAGGTTTTGAAAGAATATGCATTAAATTTTAATCAGTGTTCATCTCAGTAGAATAAGAATATAGGAAATTTTTACTTTTCATTTTATACTATTCAGTATTGTTTGAATACTTTTTAATGTTTAAGAATTGCTTTCATAATATGAAAAAATAGAGACATTTCCATTTTGGAAAAAATAAAAGATTAAGAAA